TATAGTATACATCAAGTGGAACTCCAAGGCAAATAAATTTTAAGCATTCCAGTTTCACTGCCATCTATTACAAGTCAATAATGCATGCAATTTTTGGTACCCTAAAATGCCTTCTTTCCAGAGGTTGAAATTAACCACTTTGGAGACTACCATTTTCAATATACAGGGTATAGCAAAGATACTTTTACAAACTTTAGAGGTGGGTTCTTGACACCAAAACAAGGTAAAATGTCCATATAAGCATATGCCCAAAAAGTCATCGTTGTATCTCAATAAAGCAAGTTATAACAAATGTTCAAAATGTCCTCTGCGTGCTTCTACACATGCATGCGCCTTTCAGATCATTGACTGGCAAACCCCTTCAAATACTCCCAAGGTGTCAAATGGTAGAGGTCAGCCAGTGCATCGCAAACAATGTGACTAAAATGTACTGAAGCCTCATTATGTATGAACCACAGGTGTCTTTGTATTAGCAGGTCTGGAAGTGTGTTTGAAAAAAGGTCCCTGCAGGCAGCTCCTGTAAAATGTGCTCGGCAGTTAACTACACTACCAGGCTACACATTAATCATAAATTGATGCTAGTGTCTAGCTTGTATTGTACCATAGGGATTCCAATCTGCCCACAAATGTAGGTTGTGTAAATTTGTTATTCCATCTCTTCCGATTGTTGCTTCATCCATAAAGAAGACTGAAGACACAAACAACGGATCAACAGTTTGTGCAATGAACCATTGGCAAAAGTTCTCCTGTGTTGAGTGATCAGAGGGCGAAAGACCCTGCACACATTGCAAATGATACGGATCAAGAGCTGCTCTTGAAGTACTCTCCATGTGGTACTATGAGATGTACGGCATGCTAGGACCACTTGACATGTGCCTGTAAAATGTGTTCTTCATGGCCATGCATAGAAGCAGATCTGTCTTCCTCGATCCATGGTTTGTGGTACAACAGTTCCTGTCTCAGCAATGCAACAACAAACAGCATGAAAGGTTGGATGACTCAGATGCCTTCGGTCTGGAAACGCAATCTGATACAACCATGCAGCCTCACATCCATTACCATATGTAAAAGTCATATATGCCTGCTCATGCTATGAACATCCTGCCATTGTTAAACAGAACACTTCTCAGTTAACTCACTACTACACACGTTAAATGCTGAAAACATTTGCCCATGCAGCATGTGTCCCCTCTCCATACCACCGATGTTGTCCAAGTGAAAGGTCAAATCCAATACAGCTTGGTATCAGCATCGCCACAAGTGTTGCCATAACGAAGTTGAACATAACATTGCACTATGATAGGGACTTCGCCTTACTCTTTGAACCTTTGCCATGATTGGGTATGATCACGGTGGTCTAAAATCAGAGTTGTTGTTGTTTCTGTCCGTCTCTCTCTCAAACACACACACAAATATCCAGATAATTGCTATGGTACCAGAGCTAAATCATGCAGAGTAGTGGAGCCAATTGGCACAAATTCACCTTGAACTATCACATATTCCCAGTAAGTTATAACATTCTCACCTACATTCATTGTTTATAGCAGGTCTTGGAAGGGAAATGTGTAATGTGTGGTCATCTTACCACACCACAGAAATACCATCAGTAATCATGGTTTATGCAGCATTTTTTGGCCAAGGACTACATTCCTGACAACCATCATATTTAGGGAAACAAATTTTCCACAATCACAGAATTGCGGAATCATTAATCTTAAACAGAATCTGTTTGTTTTTTTTAAATGTAATTTTCAATAATAAATAATTTGATTTTTAAAAAAAAATTTCAAAACTTTATAACTGTCTGATTTTGCTAAACATTTTAATAAATATATCAATAGCATAACATAGTTATTGCCTTAAAATTGTTTTTATTTTTCCTTTTAAAACCTGAAAAAGGAATTACAAACAAAAAACTTTACATAAAAGAAATCAGTTTATCAGTTCTCTGAGAATATGTTGGCTAGTTTATTTTTAAATATTTTAAACTTTTCTAAGAAACTATGTAGTAAATGAGATTATGGGAAAGATAGACACTAGTTAATATCAAAATTGGAGGGGGAGAGAGACGAAGATCAAACCAATAAGTTTAACAAACTCATTTCCTTTTAGACCTTACAATTTACAACTAAAAGATTCTAAAACATCTTGTAACCTTGTGTTATGAATATGAAAGAAAAGGAAATGCTATCACCTGCCTAGCATGCAATTTAGAAATAATAGGGGAAAAAAAAAAACATTCTAAGCTCAACTGGCTTGTCTACACTGAAGCTTACCATCATGCAGCAATAGTGTCAGTTTAAAAATTGCATCATCTTCAGTGCTTCACCATTGTAAAAGAAATTTAAATTTTGGAATGCAAATAAGAGCAGATTTCCTCTTCTGGAACAGATTTGCAAATGCAGTCATATGGATGCTTGTTACCAGCATAGATGAATGTTCATTTTCTCAATATAAACATTTACTCAACATGAAAGTCTTACCCCTGAAAACACCAAGCAACTCACAATGTATTACAATGGAGATTTAGAGAAAAAATTTGAAGATTAGATATTTCCCAAATTAAGAAATTAGCAATTTTAAATTTGAGCAGTAGTTCAACTTGGGAGATGTTTTATTTAAATTTTGAATTACTGTAATTTCCCAAAAATAATATGCCCCCCCACCACCACCGCAAAAATAAAATAAAATAAAATCAAGAAATATCTACTTATCTATATGTACCTATAAATTTTGGCAAAATTTTATCATAATGTTTGACTTACTTCAGATATTTATTATTGAGATTCAAATTATTTGCTTTTGATACTTTAAATGTGATTTTTATATTATGAATCAATAATTATAAATCAATCTAAATGCTTTTACAATTTGAATGTGTTAAAGGAAGCTCTGATTAAAAGTTCTACCTCATAGATTATATATATATATATATATATATATATATATATATATGCTTAAAATTTAAAGCTAGCTTAAAAGCCACCCTATTGGGTGGCATTTAAACTAGCTCCTGTGGGGGACTTTTGGTTTGGTCATCATCACAATAGCTAGGGAGGGAGTAGATGTGATAGGCATCAATTACAGAAGAATTTTAAATTTATCGCTGCATTTAATCTTTTAAAAGTTCAACAATGAGTCTTCTGCTGTCACTTAACCTGAAGCCAATTTGATGTATCTAGGTCCTTATTTTCCATACAAACAATTATTTTTATTTCATGGTTGACAGAACAGGGAACAATTTATAAAGGAGGAGAGGGAAAGCCCCAGATCTACTTTATAGTAATTTGTATTTACTCAACCTCCAACAAGATCAGGTTATGACACAAGGTCGGTTTAATGTGGGGAGCCCAAGCGTGTACATTCAGGCTAGGAACAAACATTGTCCGAGCCCCAGCAACTGTCAGTTACGCTGGCCTCGGTGTGAGCACTGATCACTCTCTCTAGTGCAAGGAGAGGGTGCAGCTGTTGACCAGAGCTGGGCACCTCTCAGTATAATTTTCCAAAGTTGCAATTGTCCCTTGACAGAGCCGCCCCAAGCACACACTGCACAAAGACAGAGACACAACCAAGAGATGATAAACGTGTTACAAACTACTTTAGATAATTTACACACTAGGTATTTATTCCATCCCCACAATAAGATTAGTTTTGACACTAGGTCAATTAAGGTGGAGAATGTACGTGTACATCTGGGCCAGGAACAAAAATTGCCTACAACCCCCACAACTGTTGATTGAGCTAGCCTCGGTGCTAGCACCGATCCCTGTCTTTGGTGCAATGATAGGGCGCAGCCTTGGGCAGCTGTTCTCCAGGCACCTCTCAGTATAACTTTCCTCAGTTGCAACTGTCCTTTGACAGAGTCACCCCTGAGTGTACTCTACCCAAAGACAGAGACGCAATTGAGAGATGATAAATAATGTTACGAACTACTCAAGAGTAATTTACACGGTATTAACTCCTTCCAACCACTTGGACAAGATGTGACAAGGTCTATTTTTAGGTGGGGACCTGAGTGCATACGCCCAAGACAGGAACAAAAATTCCCCTCAGCCCAGCAACCGTCTCTGGTGCAATGGAAGAGCGCAGCCCCAGGCAGCTGTTTCCCAGGGCTGGGCACCTCTCAGTATAATTTTCTCAGTTGCCCCTCTGTCCTTTGACAAGGATTGTTTCGATTTTCATATAAAAAATAGTTCTGTTTAGGAATATCATCTTGTATAGTGCATTTTACTTATTTTAGTTGGCATCTACTTGTAAAACTTTCCTTAACTGTAACAAGCCAATTTATGAATGAAATTGGCATTTAAAATTTTTGTTTCAAAGATTTCAAGCAGTGAATATATCTTACTTGGCAAAGCCTGCTAGTTTCTAATTAAATGCCAAATTGATAGGAGGCATGGTGGAGTAATGGATTGAGGAATCGGAGAGCCGAGTTCAAATTCTAGTCGAATACATTACATTCACGTAGGTGCTAATACACTTGGGAAAGGTATGAATCCTCTTCTCCCGTCAACTATGGGTAAATAGCAGGACAGATCGGATTCTATAGCTTTGGATGGCAACTGGTCTACCACAGAAAGAAATGGCAAGCTACTGCGGGGGAAAAAAAAATCTGTCTCGTCAGTCATGTATTGAAAGATACATGATCGCCTAAGCATGGATCATGCATGTCACATAACAGATACAGTGTGTATGTGTGCATGCACACTGAAGATTGCATGTACAATTTACATAAAGCTACTGCTGAGGTTCAATATCACATACTTATTCCAAAGTATTGTGGTCAGTTTCATACCACTAGCATAAATGATTATAAAGGTCTGAAAAGAAACAATTTAACCAGAGAACTGGCAAAGCCAAAAAGAAGTAGAGCTAATTGTGTAGACAGATATTGATCAGGTTTGTATATTAGTTTGTGGAGGTTAAATTTATTTCTCAGCTAGCAAATGATCTATAAGAGTAAGGCTGGTATCACCAGACATGTTTGTTTATTTACTTACCGATAACAACATCACAAGTTGGATGGACAATACCACTTGGCAATAGATGAAAATCATATACAATATCATCGACTACAACAGTATGGCCAGCATTATTACCTCCCTGAAAATAAAAAAATAAAATAGAAGACCATAAACATCACACGCCAAAGGAATTTGGATGTAATATTCAGATTTAAATTAATTACAATGGATATCCATTAGATTTAAAGACAGACCAAATAAGTAACATGGATTTTACAATAGCATTTTCATCACATTATTATCTTTTATTAAAATATGTGGTGGGATATTAGGCATCACTAGATAACATTCAGCAAGGTGAACCAGTTGAGACTAAGGTGCCCCCTCCTCTTTTCTATCACTTCATTTCCTATATTAAGGCTATATACTTAACATTGCCCCTAGACATTTAAATAAAAACAAATGTAGAAATAAAAAAAATAGACCAGGTTTGGTGGATCATGTCATAACTGAATCCAGCCTTGCAAAATCTTTGCTTCTTACTAACAATCAACAAAATATGTGTCTTTTCTACTGAGGTAAGGACAAGAAGCAAACATTTTCTCCTTAATGTGTTTAATCATATTGAGTAAATATCTTGTCAGTCATGCCAAGGCAATCATCATTTTCATCGCTGTCTATGGATTTGAACTGCCATATAGGTCAGTGACAGAATAAGATAATCCTAAACTTAACAAAAATATCAGAGTTCCTCAGAAGACTATGCACAACAGTTTTCCATAAGGTTTGCCGCTTTAAATACCAGAAGGTTGTTTATCAGTTGTGTCAGTCAAATTTCCATTCAATATTACAAACAAAAAAAAAATAAATAAATAAATACTTAAATAAGGACAAAATGAAATACTGGTATTCTAAGTTATTTTCTGTAACCCTTGAACCATTACTAAAACCTTTATTAAAATATTCATTCACTCTTTACTGACATGTATAAAGAGACACCAAATTCTGATGCTGGAACTGGAGGAAACCAAACACGAGCGAATGGAACCGACCGCATTTGAAGGAAGTAAATTTAGAAAAAGGATTACGGCTTTTATGTTACTGTCCACTGACATGGCTGCTACTTTACTATTGCTTTGATTCGATTAATTTCCTGTATTAATAAACAGAATTATTTTGGGGACTGGTAAGAGGGCGGGGATTTGCTTCAACAGAAACTACCCACAACTCAAGATAGGATGATTTAATGTGAGACTATCATAGACATGTGAGTAGACTTAAAAACTTCTGCCAAGTCCTAGTGACCAGAAGTATCATAGCTAAAAAAAAAATTTCCTTCTTAATACAATGAGCAAATGTTGATGTTGCCCTGGAACTCCAGGAACCATCATCTGCATCAATCTTGTGTCCTGTCTCAAGCCAAAGACTAAGGTGGATCCTGGCCACAATGTGTTGGGGGACACATATAGAGATTTGCATATATAGTCTCCCTGCTAAAACAATTCCTGTAATACAATCCAAGAAACAAGTTTGACAAGATATTTTCTTAAGTCTAAACAAACAAGCATATGGTGAGATCAAGAGTAAAGTGCTGTTTTATATTGCTGAATAAATTAAAAAGTAATAAGTGCTTATATATATATATATATATATATATATATATATAATAACCAATTTTCTTTTCTTTATTAAACAATACTCATTCAAAACAAGGCAGCTAAGCAAATGGAATTTTATTAATATAACCAGACTTATTGTAAATAAAAAGACAGGTTAAGAAGCTGAAGCCATATTACCTATATATTCGTCTGCACCATTCAGTGACATTTGCTACACGAAATTATTTTCAGCTGACTGCTTATAAGGACTTTAACCCAAGTCCTTGACACACTTCATAGAGGCAAGCATACACATACCATCCAAAGACAGGTAGGTAGGTATACACTTAACACTGGGAAATAAGTTGTATTTAGATAGTCACACAGTAATGCACAGGTACCTAGAGACACGTGTATTTAAGAATACAAATACATTCATGCCAATACTGATATACAGACGAAAATGCCACAGCTTACATTCAGATTAAAATACAAATCTGAATATTAATACTTATAACAAAGATTGTATTTCAGGAAAATAAATAAATCCAGAGTTAACCAAATTATTTCTGGAAGATGTTTTTAAAAGGCAAATAGTCCTTGCAATTAGACTGCTCAATATTTATCCATGTAACTGAATAGGGACAAGTAAACAATTATTAGTACTTTGGGGGGGGGGGTATACACACACACAGAGGGTGCAATGGAAAAATTAAATTAAGCAAAAATGAAAATAACACTGCCATCTCATTTTAAGAGAGATATTTACCAAAATTACACAAAAATATCTTTAAATACTAAAGAGTAAATTTATTCAATAAAAATTACCATTGGCTTCAATCATGGCCTCCAGACGACTTCAACTTTTCCTGCAAATCTTCTGGACTGTGCCCCACATAAAATAATCAAGGGGGTTGCAGTCTGGGGAGCTAGGTGACTGTGTGGTTACAGCCATGACTGTTCTGCTTCTGTGGTATGGTGCAAAATCCTCTTGCCAGACATAGGGTCTTCCAGCAATCACCCTCTTGACCCAGGGCAGCCCTACAATCTCAAGGAACTTTATGTAGGCCCCCGTGTTGAGTGAGGCCCACACAAACAAACTCGAGTGTTCTTAAAGACCGATCAGATTTAGTCTTCCGAGCTGCCATACCTTCATAACCACCATTAAACTCCTACACCTCTTTCAGAATCCTCTGCACTGTCCTCAGATTGACACCCAAACATTGAAATGTTCATATTGAAGCTTCTGACACAAATGTCAAGCAGTACAGAATGCAATCCCCAAATTCCCACATGGAGTGAACTGCATTCTAACAAACAGTGCCCAACTGACCCTACTATACTGTGCAGTCAACAAATCAAAATCAAACAACGCACATGTGCAAAATTAAAAATACAAAAAAAAAAAATGGTAACAATTTACCTATTGCACCCCATATACATACGCACTATAATCCAAAAGTTTGGGGCAACCTTCTGAATTTAATAATTACTAAAATTAACACCTTCTTTGGTTTACTAAAGCTAGGAGGCTGAAACTATTTAACACAATAAGTGCATAGTGCTAATTCTTTTAGCATTATCCATCAAGGTAAATTTGACAAAAACTGTTAAAACATTTAAAGTTTGTAGTAATAGGTAAATTTCATTATTAAATATATGATAAAATCCTTCAGGAAGAGAAAGTCACTCTGGACCAAAGCAAAATAGTAATTTAGTTTTGAAAAAGGCAGAGAACCACACACACATGCATCTATATAAAAAAAATATTTTGTAATCCAAAATCCAAAGGAATTCCAACCAAGTACTGTGTGCATAAATGGACAGTTTTGAAAAGTTCTATATTTCTGTATTATAAACCCTTCTTTATTGATATGTAGAATATTTTTAAATAATTTATTTTCATGAACTGTTAAGCTATGATGATCAAAATTAAAACAGTTTTAAAACATTTCACTTTATATGTAATAAATCTAGAATATTTTACTTTGAAATTAAACTAACCTTTTCCACAATATTCTCATTTTCTGTGAGAGAGAGAGAGAGAGAGAGAGAGAGAGAGGATGTTCAAGTGGTCAGAACGTTCACTTTCTGGCCATGAGACTGGTTTGAATCTCACTGTTAGGGAAGATAACCCCCCCACCAATGAATCGGTGACTCTTCACGGAAAAGGTTAGTATCAGACAACAACATGGCTGCTGAACAATACACCATCTGTAGACAGTGAATTGTTTATCCAACTCAATCCTGCTGTATCCTGGTTGGTGAGAATAAAAACGATTATTGTGTTTTAAAATATCTTTAACCATGTTTTTGTTATATTTCGTTGTTCCGAATATTTAGGGTTACAACACTCACCATTTATGATCTGTCAAAATGACAAATTATTGATGCTATCGGTCTGGGAAGCCAATCCCAGTATGCAGCGTCTGAAAACTGACTGGTTAAGCCAAGCCTTGTGAATGATACTGTATAGACAGAATTGTTCAGAAGCCATTTGTGCTAGCACAAAGACACAAGTCACCATGACTGAGGGCTTGAGTCTACTGACATTGTTCATACTGCTGATCATGTCAGACTGACTCTCTCAATTCTGCTCAGCATAGTTGCAGTATAAACCACAGGTAGGCTCTGTGGGTGTTGAACAAACACAAATGTTCCAAAGCAGGTGATGGCAACATTGACTGGCAAGCCACTCTAGCAGACAAGTGTGCTTGAAAAACGAATAGCCAGCCATTGTGTGTGTGTGTGTGTGTGTGTGTGTGTGTGTATATACACATTCGCTTTGTAAATTTTCTATAAATATAGATCAACACATTGAGAAATTCAGAAGTATTAAGTAAATATAAGAAGCACACATACCACTGAGGGTAGATAAATAAGCAAACTTCAAGCAGCTTAGATTCCCATGTTAACTAATTCCATTCACAATGGAAATAGGTCAGTAATATTTTTGTTGTTCAATTAATCTGTCTTACTGTGTTGGCCATCCCCTCCCAAGACACTAAAGACAAGAATCACTTGAGAAAACTCAAATACAATGGTATCTAAAGCACTTAAAAGAAGAATTATTTTTATTATTCCCATTTATCAATTCTTTTGTAGTGTTGCAATCAAACTGACTATTGCCTGTCTTGAATTTCTTTAAACAGCAGATGAAGAATCATTTGCCCAAGAAACCAGGATTTATGGTACAAGACTTACTTTACCTGCCGTTCTTGCACTTAAAAGATCAGCTAATATCAAATAACGGAACCACTAAAAACCAAAGTCTAAAACAAATGAATACACTAAATTCTGGCTAATCAATCACATCTGTTTTCAGGAGAGACAAAAAAATAAAAATAAAATATACCTGAACACTTTTAGAAAGACCCATTACCAACATTTTTCATCAATTTTTGTTCAAATGTTCAAAATTCACACTCCAACTTTCTTTTAAGTGAGTATATCGACATTTTTTTTTTGATTCTAAGTACCAATACCTTTTCAAGTATCAAGGCAAATCTAGTAGATATAAAATGGATATGTACCTGAAGCA